ACTGTGACTCCTTCTCTACCCTTCTCATCTTCACTTTGACTGTGAAGCAAGACTAGATTCAGCTGGCTAGAAAGGGATGATTTTTTGGGAGCCTGGAAAATGTGGGTGAATTGTTGTTGGTAATATTTTTGGAACACTCATTCCATGCCTAAGTGGCTCTGAGTACTCACATGGGTCAATTCACTGCATTTTCACAGCAGTCCTCTGGGGTAGGTACATTGTCACTACCATAATCCATGTGAAGAAACTGAGCTACAGATTTAAGTAACATGCCCAAGTTCACACTTAAATGGTGAATCTGAAATTTGAACCCACACCATCTGACTCCAGACCAAATTCTTTTAACACTATAGTCAATTCTCTTTCTCTCTCTCAATGTAAGCAGTTGTTTTAGGGAAAATTAAAGGGTGAAAGCAAAGATGTAAAAATTTGTTCCCTATCTTACAGACTTCTTTGAGTAAAGGGAAGGAGGGCAGAGCCTAGGGTATATAATAATATATTTATTGAGACTTTTCTAGAGATTTTATTTCGTTATTTTTTAACAGCATAATAAGCACACTTTGAGAAAATCTCAAGTGCTAAAGAAGTTAACCTACCTGACTTGTGACTTCATCTAATCTTTTATTTTAGGATATTCTAGAGATGTAAATGTTCTTAATCACATAAAAATCATACTTTTAACATATTAATGCTAGAGCATGCGACGTACTCTAGTGTTTCGCATCTGCAGTATGTGGTTTATTGCAGATGTTAGAGATGACTCCAATTTGCTGGAAAGAGTGTATGATTTGGATGAGGCAACAGATGAAACTCAAGATGAAGGTTTTGTTTAGGCACAATGCAAGATGACCTGGCCTCCAGGGAGCGTGGACTCTATTATAGTGAAATCTAAATTAAAATGCTCCCTACTCATGGGTTTTGAACCAGAACACCAAGTGTTAGTAGTTCTGCTTCTCCAGGAATGATAGTTTTGAGTTTAACTCTTTCCAAATCAGAATTAATACATATTTTCAAATCCCACATCAAATTTGAATTAAAAGATGTGGTTCTTTGTGAATTTCTTGTCCCTTTTTAAACAAAGCTATATCACAGGTTCTTTGATTAGCTAATTTTTCCACCTCAGATGCTTGAAATATATGGATTTGTCATGGTTACAAACTCAGGAGTTACTTAATTCATATCTAAATTCTTCAATCTAATTCAAGCAGAATCTTGGATACTATGAAGATTTATCTCCCCTTGCAAAAAGTTCAGATATTTGAGGATTTGAAATACATTATTGATTGAGGTACTGAAGACAGTGGCGTTGCATATCACATCTCTGTTTCTGGCACTGTTTTCAACATCTTCCTCAGTGCAAAATTTAAGTTATGACAAATTATTTGAGAATCCGACTCCTCTTCCACAGAATGAAGACTAATCTGAGCATCTTACCCACCCCACTGAAGTAAATTAAGAAAATAAAATTTATTTTATTTCACTCAACACGATGTCCTCCAAGTTTATCCATGTTGTGGTATGTGACAAAATTCACTTCTTTTTAAAGACTGAATAGTATCCCATTGTGTATATATATCACATTTTCTTGTTACTGTACTTATTCTCTTTGGTTTTTATTACTTCATTTAGGTTATGGGGTCCAGATCATTCCAGTGGCATAAGAAGAAGGAATGTGTTGGTCTGTTATTTTTCAACACTTGACTTTTGTTTAACATAGATGTTCAGAATTGTTTTTCTTTAAAATGCCATTGCTCTGATTTTCTAGTTAAAAGTTTTGGGGGTTCTCCCAATTCATTCATCTTGCTACTCCATTTTACCAGTTCTCCAATCCAGTTGCAACTGCCTCAACTAGATTCCTAAGAGCTAAGACATAATTGATGTCTCAGTCAAATGAACACACCATTCTTGCCTAGGGATTCTGTGCTTCTGTTCTGGGCTCCCATCCTAGTGACCTCGACTGGACAACACATAAACTTCAAGGACTTCTTCTCACCTCCAACTTTTATCCTAAACCAAGTAGCAAGATCTAAGATCTATCTCTTCTCTCCTGATTGCCAACTTGGCTTTTTTTTTTGTGTGTGTGTGTGTGTGTGTGTGTGTTTCAGAGCCTAAGCCATTCTAAGAAAAAGGTACACCCAACCTAAACCTTCTCATCCTGGTGGGAGACAAGAGAGCTCTGTATGAGGGGAATAGAATGTTGACCACGTTGTAGGGCTGCTGAGTACAGATGTGTAGGTTGTGCCCTGATATGGGTCTCTGTCCACTCAGAAGAAGAAGCACATTGTTCTTCACACCAAGATACTGCAGGCTCAACAAGCTGTGCCTGCATTTGCCCAAAGGCAGAAACTTTTCTAATTCTAGTAAAGTTGTGCTAGTGGAGGCCTTGCTCTTTTGATTTTCTTAAATTGAGGTGAAATTCACGTAAAATATAATTAACCATTTTAAAGTATACAATTGAGTGACATTTAATGTATTCATAATGTTGTGCAACCATCACCTCTCTGTAGTTTCAAAACTTTTTCAACACCCCAGAAGAGAACCCCATAATCTTTAGGCAATCATTTCCCATATCCCTCTACCCAACTTCTTGGCTCACCACTTTGATTTCTTGACCAAATATTTTATCCCTTGTGATGGAAGCCTCCTTATGTGTCTTTTATTTAATCTTTGCTTTATTCCAGAACTCTCTCTGGAGATGAGATTAAGAATGGTGGTAGTGTGTAGCCAATGCCATGTTCATTTGAATCCATCCCCATAGTGAACATTTATGTTCTGCTTCACAATACATAAGTGTGTTGTACAGGCATTACAAAAACATCAGTTGATATTCCATTTTACCACTTTTCAAAGTACTTTTTGAGAAGCATTAGTGTTACAGGATGTTAACAGGTAACATAAGAATGATGGATTTTTCTGGCTAAATCAGTTTGGGAGTGATGATTATAGAGGTTTCTTTATTGCAGTACATCTCAGTTCCTTTAATATTCTAACATGCTTTATAAACCTTCAGGATGGTAATAATGCATACAACATTATTTGCCCACTGATATTTTTCTCCCTGTGGGCATCTGGAGGTATTAATTGTCAGTGTGCTACTTGTTTGGGAAATTATCTACTCTTCTATGCCTGGAAGGGACATTGTAAGTAATAAAATTCAATTATTTCATTTTCTAGATGAGAAGTGGGTGCCCAGGTAAAGGAAAGGACTTGCTCAAGTATTCATGGATTGTTAGTTACAAAGCTGGGACTAGAACTCAAGATGATTTTATCACTTATGCTATTGAGTGGAAAAACACTCAAAGTACTTTTTGTGTTCTCTCACTCAACAACAATCAACATGGAAGACTTCTGTGACCAAATGTATGGGGATTTCTTCACCCAAACAAGCAAGCAATCGATTCTGCAGTGCATGCTAGCCGAGCGTCCTCCAATCCGATTTGATTATGACAGTATTTACCTGGAGACAGCATCAGGTCCCTCAAGGCTGTTCCCACTTCCAGTGCCATGCACAAGCCCCAGGTTGTTTTACCTGTGTTTCTGACAGAACAACTGTAAATCAGGGCTCTAACTCCCTCCTTGGATTTGATTAATTTGCTAGAACGGCTCACAGAACTCAGGGAAACACTTACATTTACTGGTTTATAATAAAGGGTATTACAAAGGATACAGAGGAAGAGATGCATAGGGCGCGGTGCGGGGGAAGGGGCTCAGAGCTTCCATGCCCTCTCTGGGTGCACCTCCCTCCAGGAACTTGCGCGTGTTCAGCTACAGGAAGCTCTCCCAGAACCCTGTCCTCTTTGGCCTTTTATGGAGACTTCGCTGGATAGGCATGATTGACGACTGTGTAGAACTGTGACTGGACAAAAAGGGTATGATTTACTACTAACAGACTGAGCGGGGAAACCCAGCAAGGCCTGTCTGTTCAAATTCATCCTGGCCTTTCTGGGCAGCATTCCTTCCTCCAGGGTATGGGGCAGGAGCTCTTCTGAAATGGGGGTTTTATGGCCTAGAATCAGACAAGGTAGGTAGGTCTGAGAATTGTTTTATGGCCAGCTCCAAGAAAAAAAGGTTGGGGAAGATTTCTGCCTTGGGGAGAAAAAAAAGGCGATAAAAGGAGGACAGGAGAAAGTCAAAGAGAGAATCTGTTTTCTGATGCCTAACATACCCCAACATTATTACAAGGACTGTGGTGGTTATGAGCCAGGAACCATGGACAAAAGGATTATATATATATGATATTTAATATATATAATATGTCAGCTATTATTCTATAATGTTGTGTTTATTGTCTTTCACATTTTTGTATTATGCTTTGTCTACCTTTGATGATTGAGAGAATTATACACAGACACATACATGAATGATTAAATAGATCAGGCAATACCTCAAGGAGCTGAATTACATGAAATTCCTTTTTGTAAAGTTGATCTTTTGAAACACCTAGCATACCACATTGCACATGTGAGCACCTTGGGAAATAGTTCCTAAATGTTGACCTGTTCTTGTGATCATATATTTTTGCCACTAAAAATTGAACTATTTAATGGCAAAACAAAGGAAAACCACTATTAAATATCATTATTAAAAAATAAAGAAAAACCATAGTGTCATGCCATATTGAGATTTTGAAAAATCTCAGTACCCCAACATTCTTAGCAAATTCCAAAGAAAAGAAAATTCTAACAACTTCATCATTGAAGGGATAAAAAATTTTTTATTAAATCCAAGTCCTAATGAACTGTTGGAATATTTCAGATGATATTTATAGTAAAATATAACACAACTCTTTTCACATCATAGGACTTCCACTGGTATCCAGATCCATGAAAGATTTTTGGTCTTTCTTTGTAAACGAAGTTATATCCTAGGGAAATTGTGTAGTTGTGTGACAAGATGCTGCAAGCTGGGTTATAGGTATTAGAGTTGAGAAGTTTGTTGGGGCTCTATATTGGTTATGGTTGAGGTGCCATCTTCTCAGGATTCCCATCAGAAGGAGGTTTTCAGCAGGTGGGCTCACAGCAGATGGGCCCATAGCAGGTGGGCTCACAGCAGCAGAGTGGGCGGCAGCAGGACTGTCCACAGTAGGATGGGCGGCAGCAAGCGGCCTGGGCATGGTGCAGCTGGCAGCAGGTTGGGGGTGTGCAGCTCACCACGCAGGAGGGGGGCAGGCAGGTGCCCTCCACGCGGCAGTCAGGGCGGCACCACCTGGTGCGGGAGCTCAGGGCTCCACAGCCAACCTCCTGGCCACAGCAGGTTGGCTGGCAGCAGGTGGTCTGGCAGCAGGTGGGCTGGCAGCAGGTTGGCTGGCAGCAGGTGGGCTGGGAGCAGGTGGTCTGGCAGCAGGTTGGCTGGCAGCAGGTTGGCTGGGAGCAGGTGGTCTGGCAGCAGGTTGGCTGGCAGCAGCTGGAGCCACAGGAGAAGCGGGGAAATCCGCAGAAGCTGGTGGAGCAGCAGGCCATGGTGTCAGGAGGTGGGTTGGGTTGCTTGGAGGAGTTTCTGAGTTATGGCTGTTTATTCTATCTCAGTTGGGCCTTTTATATGCCTTGGCCAGTTCCTGTTTGTGATGGACAACATTTTTATCCTGTTACTCTTTAAACTAGCTTTTTTAGGGCCTTCTGATTGTACAAATGCTGACTTATTTTAAACGTATCTTCAAATTGGTTTTTCCTTATTGCTCAGCTAATACTCACTGATGTTTGACCTTGGTAGAAATGTTAATGCTTTGTTTCCAAACAATGCTGTAATTTCCACTTGAGCCTCAGCCTTAGTTTTGTGCTGTGGTTGTATCACCTGACAGTGACTCTCACCCATAAGATGATGTGATTTGGGGGGTCATAGCCACCAAACTTCAAGTCTCTAGAAAAGAATGATTAATCACGGCTGTCCTTCATATAAAACTATCTTTATATTTTTTAGATTAATAAGATGATAGTCTCTACAATAAGCCAGATAGAACCTCTAATAAACTTCATATTCACAGAAATTCATGGGTCTCTCCAGAAATTGAATATGTCCAATTTCTGATTTATCCTGAAATTGGATGATAATATGATATGATAAGTTTCTGATTTATCCTGAACTTCAGACATTTATACTTGAGGACACATTTATCACTAAGGAGTATATATGAAACAAAATCTGTTCCATTCCAATTTATCTTACAAGAGAGGCTAAAATTCATACCTAGTAATTGGAAAAAATAGCAAAATATTTTAAGTGAAATTTACAGTTGTCTATGAAAGATAAAAATCACTGCTATATGAATTATCTAGATAGCATTTAATTCCTCAAAGGCAGGATTTACCTTTAATTTATGTCATTTTATGTTACTATACCATGTCTTCTGTGAACTATTACATCAAAGAGCATGATAACTGAATTTAGGAAGAGGAACCAATAAAAGAAAAAGCAGGAGTTAGAAAATACTTTTATCTGCTTTATGAAGCAGGTTAGGAAATGGGTGATCAAATATGGTTCAATAGTTATAGTAAATGCAAAGCAATTAGGATAAATTTTTGCAAAATAAAAGTTAAAACAATTCCTGGTGATTGCCAAAAGAAACAATGTTTTTCCAATGGGAGTTTAGGGTTATATGAGATGAAATGAAAAAAGTAGTGATCAAAAAACATGTGATTGCCACTTGTGGTAGGTTTATTCTTCCTCTCCAATCATGAGTAGAAATACACGGCTAGCTTTTTATGAGGTGGTAGTATTTGTTGCTACCGCAATAGAATTACATTAGAATGTGATTCACACTAGTTTTAGTAAAGATGTTCACATCATATGGTAACCATGACTGTAGGTATGAAATTGAAAAATGGTTGCATGTAATCATTGAATATTAGAGATCAAAAACTTAGTAAATCATCTTGTTCAGCCACTTAATTTTATAGGTGTAGAAACTAACATCATTCTTATTATGAATAGCACATATTTATTAAATGGATCCTACTATGCACAGAGTATTAAAGGCTTATACAGAAAGTAAAGACCCAGCCTGTCTGTCTCATATCTTGCTTCAATGCACAAACCAATGTAGTACCAATAGGAGAGTTTATTCAGGGAAAAGAGTTGAATATAGACCCATTCATCCTCAAAGTTCTAAATTGAAACATTGATGTTGTAGCATGGACCACTTTTAATTTGCCCTCAGGATCAATTGATGAAAAAGTGGGCCACACTGGCTGAAACTGGTCCAAACTGGCTGAAACTGAACCAAATCAGCTGAAACCAACTTGCTGCCACAAGTTTAAACCAGTTCAAACCAGCTGGAACTGGACTAAACCAGCCAAAACTAAGGACAAAAACAGCTGAAACCAGTGTAAACTGACTGAAACTGGTTGAAAGAGGCTCTAATAGGCCAAATCCTATCTAGACCAATTGAAATTGGCTTGAACCAGTCAAAACTGGTTGAATCTTGTTGTAATCAGCAGAAACCAGCTGAAACCAGCTCTGGCTAGCTGAAACTGGCTCAGACCAGCTGAAACCAGTTGAGGCTGGCAGAAACCTGTTGACATCCATTCAATTCCATTTACAATAGATACAAAGAAATATCTAGGAAGGAATAAACTTAACCAAAGAAAGGAAAGATAGGTCTACAAGGAGTCCTATGCAACACTAATGAAAATGGCCAAGTGCAGTGGCTCACACCTGTAATCCCAGAACTTTGGGAGGCCAGGTGGGAGGAGAGCAGAGCTTTAGGCCGAGAATTCAAGACCAGTCTGGACAACATAGTGAGAACCCAACTCTACAAAAAAGTTTTTAAAAAGTGACTGTAGTCCCAGCTACTTGGGAGGCTAAATCAGGAGGATTGCTTGAGCCCAGGAGTTCCAGGGTGTAATGAACTATGACTGCACCACTGCACCACAGAACCAGACACTGTCTCCATAAGAACACTGTCTCTATATGGGACAACCTAAATGTCCATCAACAGATGAATAAAGGAAGTGTAGTGTATATATAAACACACACACACACACACAATGGAATATTATTGAAAAAATGAAATGGAGGACATTATGTTAAGTAAAATGAGCCAGACACAGAAAGACAAATACCTCCTATGTGAAATCTAAAGAAGTTGATCTCATGGAAGCAGAGAGTAGAATAGTGGTTATCAGAGGCTGAGAATAGGAGGGAGGAGGGAATAGGGAGAGATTAGTCTGTGGGAACAAAGTTATAGTTAGGTAGCAAGACTAAGTTCTGGTATTGCAATGCACAGGAGGGTGACTATGGTTAACTATATAATATATATATATACATATATATACATATATATATATATATATATAGCATATTTCAAAATAGCTAGAGAGGATTTTAAATTCTCTTTCCATAAAGAAATGATAAATGTATGAGGTGATGGATGCGCCAGATACTGATTTGAACATTACACAGTGTGTACATGTACTGAAACATCACCACTGTACCCCATGACTGTGTGCATTTATGTGTCCATTTTTTAAAAAATTAATAAAAAATGAAATTAATAGACTTAATTTAAAAACTCAGAAGGAGTAAATAAAACCAAAACTGTATTTGCAAGACCAAAAAAGAGAAGTTTATTAGAAAGTAAACATGCCGCAAGACCTAAGCTCAAAGATGGGAAGAAGGAAATTACTTCTGTTACAGGGACTTGGGAATAGCCCAAGTCTTAACAGCTGGGCCTGGGTCTCCGTCCACAGTCTAGGTGATTAGGGTCTTGATGGCTTGGGGCAAGGAGTGTTGGTAGGTAGGAAGATGAGGTGTCATACTTTCTCAGAGGGTTGGCTGCTTGGTGCTGCAGGGAGTCGGCAGGGCTCAGCAGCAGGGGGAAGTCCTGCAGGTGGTGCGGCAGGGGGCCGGCTGGCAGCAGGGGGCCGGCAGCAGGGGGACTGCACCAGGACAGGCTGGCAGCTGCTGTGGCCCAGCAGCAGGGCGGCAGACCACGGCCGTGCACGACGTGGGCAGCAGAGCGATGGGCCTGCAGCAGCCCTCCTGCAGGCCACAGGGTCACAGCAGATGGGCGGCGCAGGGCTCGCAGATGGGGCGCGTGCAGCGGGCAGGAGGCTCACTGGGCGGCACACGGTGGTCTGGCAGGACACTGGCGGCAGCAGCAGGGTCGCGCCAGCAGCAGGGCTGGCAGCAGCTCCCCCGCAGCTCAGGGAGTGAAGCTGGGCCGCAGCAGGAGCTGGTCATGGGGAGTGTGGGGCTGCTGGCTGGCTGTGAGAGGAGCTGGGTGTGCTCAGGTGTGATGTCCTCCTCCTGCTCTGGGCCTTTATATGCCTGCGGGTGTGATGCCTCTTTTATTTGCATTATAGAATTTTGTTTTGACTAATGGTTGCTTGTGACATACTCATTATCTCATTAAAGAACTCTCCTTGCATCTCTACGTATGGATGTATTCAATGTGTTCATCCTGAAAATCTAAGAGCTCATGGTTATTTGAGGTGATAGCAGCTTTTGATGTTTATTTTGAATAGATAGCACTGGATTAAATCTGGGCAAAGTGACCCTAAAAGAACTTCAGTGTTTAAAAGCAATTAAACATAGAGGAGTATGATATGTTATATTGCTATGACTAGAGCCTCTTCTGACCCTTCTCCTGCAAGCGGCTTGTGTGAATCAGACAGGTGTTAGACATGTCCTTCCATGTGGCTCCCTTGGGAATACATTTGTCACTTGAAATAGTAGAACAGATCGCCTTGGGTAGGACAGCAGCTCATCTACTTGTGTAGGGAAAGCAAACATTTATTCTTGAAAACCAGGTAAGTACTGGAATAAAACATCCAAGACTGCCTTGCATTTTTTCTTTTCTTTAGTTCAGGTTAACTCTGGTCTTTCTGGTTGCTGAATGCTGATTTTCATCTCTAAAACATGACATTTTTTTACACTTGCCTTTCTTGTGTCTGTAATGGAGAGTTGTGTAATGGGAAATTTTTCTTAATATACCTTGGCATGCGTGCGATGACTATCCAGTGACAAGATGTAGGGTTTTTTCAATCACCATGGCAAACGCATACAGTACACTGTGTGGGGGAGGTGCTTTGGGAGGCGGCACAGTGGTCCTGCTGTAGCCTGGCTAAAAAATGTCGTGGACGTGCTTCTCCAGGAAGTGTTGCCAGGGGCAATTTAGGAACTGAACAGGGGTGGTGGATAGGGAACAGCCTCATTACTTTCCAGCTTTGCCCTCTATTATTCACCCTGCAGTGTTTGGAATCACTGTAGGAGCATTCCCATCATGCAAAAGAATGTGCCTTGGGCCCCAAGATCTAAAGCTCCCCAAATGGAATTTCAAACATAATTTCAAAACTTTAAAAGGAACATAGATTGACTGAGCAGGTAGTCACAGTTAGAGAAATAGAGGAGAGAGAAATCAGGCACAGTTTCTTCTCTAAACACCTTTGACTTGCTCATGTTTCACATTCATTCGTTTGTTCATAAACATGGGATGTTTTCCAAAGTGGTAACCAGAGCCTAG